TCAGTTGCCATTGTGCAGTGATGTATTTCTCCTATTAATGTAGTGCCCCGGTACCACGACTTTGATTTTTAATGGGTGTTTGGTTATCCAAGTCCATGCCTTTTTCTGGTTTTGACAGTCACAGCTCCTCAGATCACACTGCACTTCTGTTTGACATTAACAATGAAGATGCTGAATTGCTTATAACAAGGACCCTCTTTCATTCCCATTGTACAACCATCAGGGAGAGGGGAGAGTTATTTCAAACCCATTCAGCTCTGAGGTGGTCTGAATTGCTCTGGATGTGCCAGTTTCTTCTTCTTGCCTGTCAAAGAACCTCGTGAACCTTAAGGTGGCTGCTCCCTAGATCAGGCACGATGCAAGCTGCCCGAATGGATGGGAATGTCTGGAGAAAAAAGAGCTTGGGCAAATATTCCTTGACAGGACTGTTCCTCTTGAAATTACTGTTTCCTCTGGAAATTGCTGACTTGTTTCACTAAATGTGGGGGCAGGGAATGTACTGACTTTATTAGCATATTCTGTAGGAAACTAATGTTTCACTTCAGCTATTAGAATACTATATAACGTATTATCATCTCACAGAACATGTCAGTTTAGACTAGATTATGTAAACATCCAAACGAGAAAGTCAGACTAAAAATATTTGATATGATCATTTCAGTATTTCTGAAACAAACTCTTTTAGAACATCCATTTAGAACATCCATTGAGGAAGTGTGGATTAGATGATCAGGTAGTGAGATGGACTGTTAACTGGCTGGTGGGAAGAAGCCAGAGAGTGGTGCTTAATGGAGCAGAGTCTAGTTGGAGACCTGTATCTAGTGGGGTCCCTCAAGGGTCAGTACTAGGACCAGTATTATTCAATATATTTATAAATGACCTGGATGAGGGAATAGAGTGCACTGTCAGGAACAGGCTGCCCAGGGAGGTTGTGGAGTCTCCTTCTCTGGAGGCATTCAAGACTCGCCTGGACGCCTTCCTGTGTGATCTCATTTAGGTTCCTGCTCCGGCAGAGGGATTGGACTGGATGATCTTCTGAGGTCCCTTCCAATCCCCATCATTCTATGATTCTGTGATTCAGCGATGGCGCTCTCTTCCAATTAGGAATGAAAGGACATTTATAATGTCTGAGTTGCCTTTGGAACATGAACAGCTTGAGCTTTGATGGTTGCTGGAGCTACACAGTTGGGTTCAGACTGCTGTAATAATTGTTTCCTTACATTTTGTTTGGGTTGCAGTAGCATTTGGAGGCTACTGTCAGGGTTTGAGGATCTCTTTTGCAAGGAACCTAATGTTCATATAACAAAGAGAATACTTGGCCTTCAGTCACGCAGAATAGAAGCACTGGACCAGATACGGGGAAATCAAGCATTACCAAAAGCTTTGGTGGTGACATGGCAGAAGTGGGCTTTACTGCACTTTGGCTACGCATTTACTGGAGTAGCGGTTGCCTGGGAGAAACATCTGATTGAAGAACTAATTGGGTATTCCCGTAATTACGTGTTGGTGGTGAAGGAGGCTTTGAGCTTCAAGGACCCTGAATGTTCTGTGAACCCTGCCTCAGCCAGGGTCTTGATCTTGGATTAAATTTCTGGTAATGTTGAGATTGGGAACAAGTCTGAAATGAGCACCAAACAAATGGGATTCAAACTCCCACTGCAATCTGATGGGCTAAAGACTTCTTCAAATGCTTGGTTTAAATAACCAGCAATTTGAGGTAGAGCAACTGAATTGATTATCCAGTCTTTGAACACCAAAGTGCAACTGATACATAGATGATTTTTAAGCAAGATCTTCTGTTTGAAATTTGTGATTCATTATTATTATTATTATAAAGAATCACAGAATCATAGAATAGTTTGGTTGGAAAAGACCATTACGATCATCTAGTCCAACTGTAAACCTAGCATTGCCAAGTTTACCACTAAAGCATGTCCCCAAGTACCACAATATACTATGGTAAAGTCCTGTGAGCCCTGAACTTTTAAGCCAAGAATGGCCCTTACTCAAATTCATGAACATTAAAGGGTAGCCTACACTGGCTGAATGGAACTTCTTGAATGAAAATATACCTTGGAAAAAAAGGAAACCAAAATATTATTCAGTCTGCAGCAATCTCATGCATTTAAGCCCCTGGAGGGCTTGTGCTTCTTTACCCTTGAGGTTTATTATGTCACCAGAAAAGCTTTAATATTTTACTGTGGAAGCAACATAGCCATGAAACATTAATTTCCAGGAATGTGGGAACCATGAAATATGGGGTTTTCTACTAAGTTAAGATTTTATTTGTCTCTGTTTTCACATAGTTAAGGGAACCAATTCTCATTATATGTTTATGTAAATGTATTCTGGAAATTCAAGTAGGAAAGATGTACAAAATACAGGAAGAACATTTTTACCTTGAAAAATGTATTTCACTGATAACAAAACCAGCCATTTATATTCTACTTTTCATCCTAAACCAATTTACATTCTATATCCATCTTGGAACCGTGTCTCTCATTACTGAACTGCACCCGCTCTGGTGTGTAAGTGAACAGCTGATACATCCTGCCCTGTGACAAGTGGCAGCTGTTTAGATTTGTATAAAATTGTTTACTTCCCTATTTCCACAATGCTGTTCTCTCATCACTGTAGTGACCAACACCATTCACATATGCCTGGCACAGACACAATTGTACTAGGACCTCCAGCACTACCAAGTATTCTGCACCATGACAGACAGCTCTGGCTGGAATAAAAAATAGCAAAGGATAAATCAATTTGTTGTCCACGTAAAGGCCTTTTAAATATCCTCCTGTTATTACTAACCAGTGTTACTAACTATAAAACTGATTCCTCTTTCCTGTCAAATAAATGACTGACTTTCCTTCAGGTATCTACACATACTCATACGCATGCAAAGACCGCACCAGCTATTGGCAGCTTCGACAGAATGAAAGCATTGGCGTGGCTTAAAGGGAATTTAGGTCTGGGGACAATTCCAGAATGTAAGTGTTCACCTAGGGCTTTTAACAATGTTGTATCCTAACTTTAGTTCATTACCAGTTGATTAGAATGAAAAAATTAGCCAAAACATTCCAGAAGCGTCTGTGTCATGGGAACCATAGGTTTCTAGGTTATATGACACACCAGAATATTCACCAAATCACCAGGGTTGTTTTCCTTAATGCTACAATTAGTGATGGCACATTAAGAGAACAATTACTGGATAAGATTTGATGGCAGGAAGCCCTCTGCCATAAATTGGAAATTCTCAACATATGCAACCCTGTTGCTAGAGAAGATGAGTTATGCAATTAAAACCAAAACTGGAGATTTGTTATCAAAGGATGGCAGAGAGTACTAAAATCCAGCTGAGAGGTTCCCCGATCTCGTTATCTTCAGGCTTCTATGTGAGTTAATCTAACACAGATGACAATATTGACACAGACAATTTTGCCTACAGTCATGTGGAGGATGTTTTAAAAGAACCTCTTTCCGTCAGAACATGGAGCTTTGTCATAATGCAACTCTTTAAAAAGTCTGATAAGTTTTGCCAGAATTGCATTTCAGGGGAATAAAACATGATAAAAATTCTAAGAGTCAGAACAGTGCATTCTATCATTATCATCAATTTTTAACATTTTGAGCAAGCCATATTTAATTTGTTTTTTACGGCATTTAAGTGCAAGTTATTTTAAAAGTCAAATTCAAAAGAAAAATTTGATTATGTCTGAATGAAAAATCTTAACCAACTTGGAAAAGTCTGTGGTTGTGTTGTTTTCCTTCATAAAGAATTTCAAATTTCTCCCTTCTTGTCCTCATTCAGAATGAAGCAGAAATTCAAATTCTAATTTTTTTTTGCAAAATGATCTTCTGTCCTCCCACAACACTTCCTGCACCTATATGAAGGGAAAAAGAAGCTGAATGTGTCATTTCTGTGAGCCTTAAGGAGATGGTATGTATGTTAGCATTTTCAAATCCAGGCTTATACAGCTGCTGTTTGAATATAAATCATAGATGCTTTTGGGTTACACTAACACCCTCTGCAGTTTAGTACAGTTGTTAATTAATACAATACTGTATTAGTTCTTCTTACGGTCTTACTATTAACACCCCATGAAATCCCATTAGCTCTGCATATGGTGCCAGACTTGTTCTGAATGTGGGAAAGAAAGAAATTTACAGTGGTATGAATAATAAAGAGATGCTTTCAAGTGGTTTCTGCTGTGAACATTTTGAAAAAATATTTTCCAGAATGTAATTTGTGGGGCAATCTTTTCACAAAATTTCAATGCAAACACGCATATATTTGTCATCTAAGTTTTCCCCTGGAGTGTGAAAACCCTTATGCACCACTATTGTTCTATGGTAGAAACATCATGAAGATAAAGTAGTTTGTAAAAATTGAAAACAAACAAGGTTGTCTTATTGTCCAAACTGACAGAAATGCGAAAACAAAACCAAACCAAAAAACTGCATAGCTGATGCTAACAAATGTATAAAACTTTCCTTACATTTTTGGTTTAAGGATTTTAAAATACAGATAGTGATGACAGTCAAAATTTGAGTTAGGTTTTCCAGAAGTTATTTGAATTTCCTGCATCAGTGATCTGACAGATCCTTCTTAAATTCCAAGAAGATTTAAGTGCCATAGTAAAAAATAGGATTATTTTTTAGCACCTCATACAGAACACTCCAAAATGTATTAGCCACTACAGAAACTTCAGACCTAATTATTTTCTATTAGTTGAGTTTTATCCAGTGCTGACTCCTTAATGAAAGAGAGATCTGACAAGGAGCTGTTAGAAAGGCTTCTAAAAATGGAGAGAATGATGAAGGAGGATTTAGAAGCAGACTATTCCCTGGAGAATTGTAATTCTCTCCCCATCCTTTAGGAGTTGCTGCCCTGGAGTTGCAGTAGTAGCAGTGCACAGTTAGGAGGATTCTGGCAGATGCTCTTCTCCTTCCCAGTCCTGCGGTTCATCCACAGTCCAGTCTCTGCAGTCTCTAGGCAATCAGGAATGGCCAGGGCCTTTCTGCATGGCCAACATCCAGACAGGGACACACTGCTCAGGGAATCCCTCCTGCCTCTCCTCTTGTAGGATGGTGAGTCCACTCATTTCAATGAGGCTGTGGAGGATGTTCAGGTCTCGGATCACACTACTATCCAGACAATCCAAGGTACAGCCCTCCCTGGCTACATTGTCTTTGAGAATAATAACACCATTATCGTTCAAGCCATTCTGGCACCGGATGAGAAACTCCAGGAGATCTTTATCTGTCAGATATCCTAGAGATGAAAAGATGGAAAATAGATCACTATTAACCATTCAAACAGACTTCCCCTGTACACATCAGAACGGTGTCTTGATCTGAGTCTCCATACCCTATTTATTGCAGGAGAAGTTCTAGTCCTGCCAGATTTAATTATGAAATCTTGGGCAAATCAATGAGATGAACAGTTACAAACTCAAATCAATATTTAGGATGTTCATTAGTAGTTGCACCAGATGTGGACATAAGTCAATGGGAATAGTGGAGAAAATACTGGGTGCTGAAGGGTTCTTTAATCTGGTGGTTAAAGTCATAATAAGAATCAGTGTCAGGAAGCTGAAGCCAAACAAATTCATATTGGAAATAAGTGACAACTGTTTAACAGTGCAAGTAATTACCCATTGGAAACTACCAACAGAAGTGGTGTTTACCACCTCTTGAAGTCCTCAAATCAAGCGTGGTTGACTTTCTCAAGATATTTTTTAATTGAACACAAACTACTGGCTCAGTACAAGGGTAAAGGAATGAATATAACAGCTTGTGATACAGAGTAGGTCAAACAAGATAATCTAACAGTCCCTTCTGTCTTTTAACGCTGCAAAGCTCTATAACTTTGCATAGCTTTATGTACCCATCAAAGGAGTTATGGATGAAAGATCTAGTGTGGAGTAAAGACCTTCCAAACTGCCAAATAAACTCTTTATATTACCCCACAATGTTGTGAATTCTGCATATACTAAATACATTTAAAAATAGTACTTTTTTCAATATGTTATTGAGATTACGGTTTTGATCCTTCCTTCTCAAAGATCAATACTTCTGTTATGTTGAGATCAGTAGTGCAGGGCTCAGAGAAGAGCAAAATGAGAAAGCTCACATGTGACACATCTAAAATGAATTAACAAGGACAGGTGGTCAGAAACTGAATGAAAAACTTAGAAAAAAAAAACATTGTTTGTATTTTCTAGTCAAAATATTTCGTTTTCTTGATGGAAGACTTAAACTTTTCTAAATGGAAGTTGTCATTTCAAACCCACATTTTGACATAGCATGCAAGGTTTTTTTAATCACCCCCCCAAAAAAAAAAGAAAAAAAAGGGAAAAGCCCCAAAGCCTAAAGCTGAATACCTTTCAAGTTTAAGGAAAATGGTAATTTCTTTATGAAATGTAAACCTGCATTTTTATTTTTTAATAAAGTAACAGCCTGGGCTCATATGCTTATGTATATATAAGACAAATCAAGATTGCATCAGCAAGATCAACTGAATCTTTTGACCAGCTAATTTGGAACTTAATGTTCTCTTAATTTAGCTTTTAGCCTAGTTTTCAAAGAAAATAAGATCTTCACAGTGCTGCTCTCTGCCAGACAGTCCTGCCCTTGCTCCACCAAAAATTGTTGAGCTTGTCGGCATATTTCAACCAAATTCAAGTTCGATTAATACTTAAGATCACTACATATTTCACTGCAATTGATAGAGGAAGGACACTCAGATCTGTGTCTAAAGAAAAGGCACATGTTCCCTTTGTTAGCAGCCACCTAGCTGATCAGCACAGCCTCAGACAAGTCTTAGCTCATTCAGTCTCATATTGACTCAAATTTGCTCAAAAGATGAGGCAGGAGCCATATTTACTACAACAATGAGTTACTCAAGAAGAGAAAAAAATACAAAGGAAAATGATACTGTTCTGAAACAATTTGCTTGTACAGCTATAAAGACCTTTCTAAGAAGTAGAGTTTCATTACTTAAGACTACGTGTAGAGGACAAATAAGTGTTCCTGAATAAAACCATCTCCTGTGCTAATCTCTCTACCTTTATCTCTCTTTTTGCCTAGTAAGAAATGATCTCCAGGGTTTTGGAGAGAAGGAGTTGTTCAGGCCTCTTCTTGTGGTTTAGAATGATGACTTCTGTCAGCTGAAACTGCACCATGGACACTTAGGGTCACAGATTAGGAAAAATCCTTCTTTCTGGAAGGACAGTAGCAGGTTTTCTAGAAAAAATTAAGAACTTTTTCTTTTTTTTTTTGTGAGGAACATACCCCACCTTATCTGATTGCCAGTCTGCTGCTCTTAATGCTTCAGGGCATTCGCTGGAGTGGCTGCAGGAGAAGCAGCAGGTATTTCTTATATGAGGGGGTACTGTGGGACATAGCTAAGTGAACCTGTTTCATAAGCATCAGCACATGTATGTGTAGGACATGATCTGGTTTATAGGTACTGGCGATTTCACTGTGGCTTTTTTCAGATTGTTTCCTGAAATACCCCCAAGTCTGGATAAGCATTGGATTCAGAAATCCCTGCTCACAGGTGAGGCCAACCCTGCGTATCTGTCTGCAGCACTGGCAACTAAGAAGGAGGATTCCTCCTCAGGAAAACCCACATATAAGGCCTGCTCCTCAGCTGCACCTTAGCATGCAGGCTGCTCTTCAAAAACATGTACCTCCCTCTGATATGGGACCTGAAAAAAAACAACTTGATTTGTATGCACTGTGTGTGTGGCTGGGGATAACTTTCAGAAATATCTTGTAAGCTTTTAGGAAGCAGTCTCAAATATTTGAGAATCTCCTTTTACAGCTGCACCATTCTTCTAACATAAACTTTAGCATGGGCTGTTTAGTTCTCTGAGATGCTGGGCTGGATGAATCATGCCGAACTAACCTGAAACCCACTGAATCCAGATGACATCATATCTTTGTGGGGCTGGAGTGAATTCCTGGAGGCTTTTGCAATAATACATCTCTACTCTGTCCTCCTTGCCCTGCAGGTAGTTCGGGACCTCAGCCAGGAAATTCTCCATCATATCCACCAGTTCCACGCTCTTGAAAACTGGTAACAGGACATGCTTGCTGATACGACCTATCCCAGAGCCGCAGTCCAGGGCGCGGTTGGTGCCAGCTTTCCCCACCCCCTGTGGGACACAAGAAAATCATTTGAAATCTGAAAAAATACCACCTGAAAGATCATAGCAACTGTGTTACCAGCTATGGCCTTGAGTTGACCAAGGCCTTGTGTCTTGTCTCCTTATTTGTGCAGGGTCTGTTGGAAGATGGATAAGAACCTGGGACAGTATCAATGCAGTAGCTGTGTGTGAGCTGAGCTGGGCTGCTACGTTCCCAGGCTGCTGTTGATGAGCTATCCTCATTGCAGCCCTCCTTGTATTGCTGTACAGGAAGTTTTTGCCTGCTGGAAGAAGAGACATAATCTCTCACAAGCTCTAGCTTTCTCAGAAGATCCACTGGTCTTTGTAAAGACCTTGCAACTTCATCTGTCAAATATTTGTACCTCACAGCCAACGACATAGCTGGATAAGCCTCACTCTGAGCCCTGTAAAGGCCTAACAAAAAAGTAAGCATATACCAAATATTGAATGACAAAGAAGTAACTTCTGCAGCACAGAACTCCCAAGGTGCCCATGGACATCTCTGCAGATACACAGCATCCTTGAGATCAGAGTGCAGTTTTCAAAACAAGCCGTGTTTGGATCAAGAAGTTGGAGTCGTAGGTAACTTACGACAACTCAAAAAGTTTGAACTGGAGCATATACAGAATTTCTTTTTTAGGCACAGGGACAAGGAAGATGATTAGTAGATTTGGCTTAACTGTTCTTTTTTTCTTTGTAAATATAATCTCTGGACAGAGATCAGACATGAAAAAATGTGGCACAAAGGATACGTCTATGAGAAAATAATGAGTCACTGTAAAAGGAGCTTTATAATGAAAGCTGTATTTCACCCCTAAAGCTTCCATTCTAGCTATAAAAAAGCTCTTAAGAGCCTGCTGCTGTTCTGTAAAACAGAAATTTTAAGTCTGTACATGCAATGACTGTGGGACTGGAGCTCCCCTGGCCAAAGTTATCTGTTAAACAAATATATTAAAAGCAAATGTAAACACCTTTTCCCTGTCCAGTGGAACTGAGTGTTGAAGTGAAAGCTATGGGCCAAAGTCTCTGCTGCAACTTCACTGCCCTTAAAGGAATTAAGCCCAGGAAGAGTCTTGTTCTTCCTGCTTATTGGGAGACCCCCTCTGTAATGACCAAGCATAAATCATGTAACTCATCGCGTTTTTGGCCTTGTTTCAGTGGGTAATTCAGTAGATTATTAAGGTCAAAGGACGGTATCGTCAACGACATGACTATGAATAGCCTGGCTGAGCATCTGGTTACATAGAGTAACTGTAGAAAGAGCACAAGGACCTCAAAGGCTCTCACCAGTCTTCAGGGCTGCTGGTCCCAATTTGTATACCTAGGAAGATTAATCTCCCGATGTGTGCAAGAGTCCACAAGCCTTCAACCCTATAGGACTCTGGAGACTACCTGTTTGTAGTTAGCCAGCAAACGTGAGCCGTTCCTCATTCACAGGCTGCACTTACGAGCATGTGGCTTTTACTGAGGACCAGACTAAGCTGTAACAAGGAGTTCATGAAAGGAGAAGGAACTGCGTCTTGGATCCTTACAAGGTGGATTTCCATCCTGTTTGCTGGCAGATACATACAGGCCTACACTGATGGCATTAAGTAAAAACCTTGGAGAAAGCTGACGAGAAAACCAGGTGATTTACCAAATCAACTAACGGAATTCAACCAAAAGCCACACAACTTCTTTGACATTTGTGTTTCAGAGAACCTATAGCCGCAGTCCCTCACCCAAAACAGGGAACTCATCTCCCGTGATGCGCTGTGGCAAGGACCTCTGATGACACATCTCCATTTGCCATTGAGAAGAAGGAAAGGGAACAACCAGGGGAGATGAAGCTTGATGCTGTACTTTGCTGAGAGGGAGCAAGAGCATCAGGCAGTCAGCTGAGAAGCGCTGCAAAGCACCATGGCTCCGTTTGTAATGAAAATGTTGACATAATTCCATGTTCAGCTAATATATTTTCAGTTTGTGAGTGCTCACAGTTTTGACAGGGTACTAACATTTTCTTTGGAAGGCAATAATTTTCCCAAAAGGCTAATTAAGTTGAAAATCAGATTCCTTATTTAAAAAAATAGTGTAAGTGAAAATCTTACACCAGAACAGGATTAAAAATTTAAGATTGACTGTTCCTTTGATTAGCTGCTTCCCCTTACTCAGAATACTATAATTTAGGACACATATACACCCAAAAATTCTTCTGTAAAGCTGAATAGGGCACTCACAGATTGCCTTAGGGATAAAAGAGCTGTGGAATATGTTCCTGATGCTACTACTTCCGGTCTTGGAAGGACAGGAAGGCAGTATAGATATGAAGGAGAAAAAAGAAATCAGGGTTCAAGAAATAGATAAAAATCACCGTGGTTTTCTTTCTAAATTAAAAAAAAATATATATATATCTCAGGTTTTCAACAACATCTCTTCCACCCCCCTGATCAAACAGCAGAAAAATCACTTTCAAGAAGCTTTTCATTCAGCAAGTAACCAATCAAGCAGGTGAACTGAGGGCAAGAAAGGGAGAAGGGGTTTAGGGCAGAAAGGGAGCTATAAAGTTAATATAACCTCCATCTGTACTATTTCACACACTTATAGCTCACAACTGTTCCTGAATTAATGGTTTCTTTGTTTTCTTTATTTCCTTTTTTTACACATTACCTCCGGATTAGGCACTTGAAAATACAGCATCTGTGTGGACATCAAGGCTTTACCTGGCATTAATACACTGCCATAAATATGCAGTGCTAGAGCTCTGCTGATAACCCTTCAAGCACAACTGTACCTCAGACAGCGTATACCTTGTCTCTACAGCACTTTTGGCTCAAGTAATGTTGCTCTTGGTTTGAGTTCTGCCCACACACACATAAAACCTCTTAACTTGAGCACAGTGGCACTTTTAGCTCAGTTTGAGTCGCCTGGGAAGGAGACAGGCGAAAATATAAGTGAAGTCCTTAGTCCTTTCTGTAATTCCTTCCATGTGCCCAAGCAAGATAAATTCTCCAACGGTAAAGAAATGTGTAGCTCAGTTTACAAGAATCATGCTAAGAAATGCCATACATGAAGGTATGCAACATCAGTCATGTAAGGGAAATGTCACTGTGTGGCATTTCCACACCAGCCAAACTAACTCAAGAGGGGTAATTTGAGTGGAACTGGGCAACTGCTTTTTAAAGAGCACTGGTTTTGCCAGAAAATAAAGTTTTGGAAGAATAAAACTCTCTGTGAAATTGATATTTCAAATCTAGAGAACAGTTATAGCCAAAAAACATGGGAAAGAATGTTGAAAATGTCAAGATACTCCTTCTTCACGACTTTCAAGGAAAAAAAAAAAAACAACTTGTCAACTTTTCATTTCTAAACAGCATTTTTCATTTTGGAACTGACTTCTATCTTGAAAACAAAGGGAAAAGTTTTTCAGAGGGCAAAACAATAAAAAAAATAAGTGAAATATGTCAAGTTGATCTGAAACTAATTTTCCTATTTTCTGATTTTTGTTAAACTTCTGTTTAAAAAGGAAAGCATGTTTTATATTAGGGTGAAGCAAACTGTTTTTTTCTGTCTTGGTCACCTTATTGAGAAAAAAAATGTTCATAGAGCCATAAACTTGGGAAGACATAACTCAAATTAGCTTTCCAGTAAAGTCACTACTACAGAAAGCCAGTAAACGTGTATCTGGTTGAGTAGGATTCAAATTGCAGTAGTAAGAAAGGAAAATAAACCATAAGTAACATAACCAATTGACTGTATCTCAACAGAGGACAGGCTGTAACAAACTAAATCAGAATTAGTAAAACACACAGATTACTTCCTATTCCACGCCCCCCCCCACCCCCCCCTTGTTTGATCTTGGCCATTCAGAGTATCTTTTCTATCCTGGCTAATAATAGGAGTAGGAACTCTGGTCTGGAGTATTTTGTATCTGTCACCACACCTGATGCATTGGGTATGATTTCTCTTTGGCATGTGAAACTCTGCTACAGACTGTACTTCTTTCCTTTTCAGGTCTTGGAGACGAGAAGCTGTAACAGCACGATATAAACCTGCCGTTCAGGAGCCTCAATCTAGATGATGTCTGGGAAGTGTGAAATCCTCACGAGTACATGCTTATGCACCACTTCAATACCACAAATGTCCTTAAAAGAAGACTTAAGGAAAATTGAAGGAATATGCCTTGAGCTGGTTCTAGGCTTCTAAGTTGCATTTCATTTTTTGTGAAAATGCCATTTTACCATCGGGTTCAGCTGCCTTGCTGAACTTCCTTGGTGTTTTCTTACTTTGCATTTGTATAAAGGCTGATACAGCAAAGCTTTAAAATGCTGTGAAGCCTTTTTATGTTAGCATTCATACAAATAATAGAATCATAGAATCACAGACTGGTTTGGGTCGGAAGGGACCTTAAAGCTCATCCAGTTCCAACCCCCCTGCCATCAGCAGGGACACCTTCCACTAGACCAGGTTGCTCAAAGCCTCATCCAGCCTGGTCTTAAACACTTCCAGGGAGGAGCAGCCACAGCTTCTCTGGGCAACCTGTTCCAGTGTCTGACCACCCTCGCAGTGAAGAACTTCTTCCTAATATCTAATCTAAACCTCCCCTCTTTCAGCTTTTCATTTCCCCTGTTCACTTATGTTTTCCTGGCTCACTGCCCCAAAAGTCTCCCTCCCCCCACCAAGTACAGTAAACTTTGCCATTAGTTGCCCTTCACTGCTGTACAGGATTCCTATCCCTTGTTAAGCCACACTCATTTTTCCACCCCAATCCAAATTGTGCCTTTTTAGACACACAACATCTAATTAACCGATTCAGCTTTTTTTTCCCCCCGTAGATCATTAGGACTAAAAAAAGGTCATCTGGCCACCCCAAATTTGTACATTTGAGCAGAAAAAGAAAGATCTATGGTAGCATTATATAGAACTAGACATTTTGTGAGCAGAACTTATGAAATTTAGTTTCCCGTAGCTTTGTGGATTCTTTAGTGTCTAATACTGTTGTTCAGCTAATTTAGTGGGCTTTTTCCCTGGGAAATGGAAAGGGCAGGCAGAAAACCATGAGGCCACACTTTTAAAGATTTGCAGATTCCCAAACACACATTTAGGCATCAACAGAATTTTCAGAAACCTAAGTGCCAAAGTGATATTGCTATTGTAGGTGCTTTTAAAATTCCACTTGGCATTTCTTTGCACCTCAGGTCACAGCAGACCTTTGAAGAAGATGTTTACAGACCTTTAGAAATCTGCCTGCAAAGGTCCCTAGTGCTACTGGGATGTTAAAGAAAAAAATATTTTTCCTAATGGGTAGCTTATTCTAGATACTCCTAATGTTTGGGGCAGGGGGAGAGCTGGGGTTTTTTGCAGCATTCTCAGAAATATCTATAAATAGGCAAAACAGAAACTTGGCATTTATTCTCAGCTACTTTCCCAAATGTACTGCAGGAATTTGCACAGACAAATCTCCCAATGAAGCCAGTAAGGGTTTTATCATGAAAGGTCTCAGTCCTGCACTGAGAATTAATCTCCCATCCAAACACAGCTATAAGAACTCCTTGCACAATCTTCTTTGCACCTTTGGACCATAAGAACAGGCAAAATGTGTATTCATGATGCATGACCTGGCAAAATACATTACTAGTCCCACTGACAGTCAGTTATGAACTGTGACTGTACATCAAATATGACATATGGTGCAATTTAAACTATATGTGACTGGTGCATGTCATTTATGACACATCACCACTGTTTCTTGCAGAAGACGGGATTAAATGACTCACCCCAACAAACTTCCTGAGAAACTCCCTGGAGGATTCAATGTCTGTATTGGAGAGCTCAATGTAGTCTCCCATCATGCCCTCTTCTGTGGCTGGCACCTCCCGGTAGAAGTGTTTGGCCCTGGCGTAGAACTGCATCTCCCCATTGATAACTTGACTTGTCAAAGCGTAAAGTTTCACTGCAAGCAGATAAATCACTATTTTATTGTTAATGACCGATATTTCTGGTTTAGCTTATTGCTCTGGAGGCACAATGGTGAGGATCTATAAACTTAAGTTGAGCCTTCAAACCACTAAACCTCTGTTTCTGCAGCAAAGGTGGAAGGAAAGGTGTTGAATTTAATCCTGCACAGCCTTGAAGGAACACAGCACCCATTGGGCATATGCAGTGCCTCCCAGGCTCACACCTCGTCATCACACTGTATATTTTCATGTCAGTGAAAAATAATTTTGAGTTTAAAGATGAATATACATGCCAAAGAGAGCAAGGGGTTTGATTTGCTCCCAGAGAAGCTGTGGATGGTATTTATTGCTATGCAGGGTCATCATTTCTGCTATCACAAAACTCACTGTTCTGCAGATTTCCATATATGCTTTCTAGCCACTGACAGCTGCACCGAGAGAGCATCGAGAAGAGAGTGGATGAATGAGGCACTTGACCTGGTTTATTTTTAGTGATACTGTACAGTCTGTGGCACTGTAAGTAAGCTGAACCAAAGAGCAGGTGCTCGTCTCAGGCCTAAATGAGTATACAGGGGGTAGACAATTTGGAAGAGACAGTCCTAAATTTTCATGTGTCACAGATCAAGGAGTGAGATAATCAGTGGGTGATACACTGGAAAGTTCTTGTGTGCCAGAGGCTTGGATGTTTCTTTTCACTGCTTGGCTATTTTGCTGGTAATACTACAGCAATCATAAGTTTGAAGCTGTTTTATTAAAATCCGTGAGCTTTGCTGGGTGAAGGGCTGTTTTCCCCTATTCTTTAAAAAACTGAAGCCTACCCTGTGCATCCTGGGTTTTTCTATACTCAATGTGCATAAGCATCATGAAAAGAAGTTCTGTTTTGCACCTCTAAAGTTTGGATTGAAGCAGGCCACAGTTTGCTCGGAAACCAGCCCTATCTCATGCACACATAGAGGTGTCCCAGCATTTTCCTGTGTGTACAACACACGGCTACTCCGAGCCAGAGCTTGCAAGGAGAACACAGCCACAGGTCTGTCTATGAAAGCTGAGCAATAAGGAGGGCTGGAGTCACACCGGGAACAAGCCTTTGCGAGCATCACCTTGCAGTGTGAGAGCAGCTCTGCTGCAGATTCCCAGTGTGCTCGAGGAACTGGAAATGATCCAGCAGCAAACACTTTTTGGGTTAATAACAACAAAAAGGCAGAGCTCCCTGCCAGCTGTGTACACAGGGAGCCGTGCTTTGTCGCTGCATCTTTAAACTTGCACAGGAGCAGTGCCGGTCGCTGCTGGGACGGGTCTGAACAGGCCGTGCCTTGCTGACGCCGGCGGGGGAACAGCAACGGTGCCCTCCATGCAGAGGATGAGAGCTAGGCCAGAGGCCCTGAATATAAGCCTGGAATGTATTTATTGAGGGCAAGCAAGCTCAGCAGGGAATGATAAGTGTGTGCCTGCCCATCCTCAGCAGGAGAATGACATTTTGGAGGCAAATGAGGGGGGGACAAAGGAAGTCGGATGGGGAATAATTACCACCAAGGACCACTCGGAACAGAATAGTGCTATTGGGTTACACATAAGCAGCATGCCTGGCATATCCTTCATCCAACAAAAGCAGCATTACCAGCCCCTCCTGTCATCACCTGCTTAAGTCAACTGCTGAACGGATACCATTAAAGCTTTAATCCATTACACATTTATGTTATGCCTGAGAAATTTATACCACAAGAAGCACTGAGCCCAGCAAGGGTCAAACCTGGGAGTTTTACACACTCCACTGATTATATTCACATACTCAGAAGAAACCATTTAGCTGAAGAAATTAATATGAAGGGGGCAGCAGCCAATCCCCAGCACAAATTGGCCAGGGTGGCTCCCAGAGCCTGAGAAAAAGACTCCATCAGTGGCTGTGATTCTTCCAGTAAATGATCTCCATCATTCCCCAGGAGTGGCACCATCTTCTTTTCTCTGTGTCTCTTTCTCCATTTCAAATGCCAGCCTCTCTGGTGAAGCAAACTGAAAGCTGGCACGTTGGCTTTGCAAGATCTTCCATACAAGAGTGCAGTGATGACTGTTAGGGCTTGTTTAGTGGAGCTATCATGGGACAGTGATTTAGCTCCCATTTTGCTAGACTGAAGGGAAAGGCACTTACAGGCTGGCTGCACACTTGCACAGAGTGTTGCAGGCAGCTGTCAGCATGAACAACAAATATTCAGAGTCCTACTCAAAACATGAGCCTGACCTGAGGCAACACATGGGGAAGAGATACTGTTCAGGATACCAGATCTGCAGTGTGTGCTCTCAGATTTCTCAGTCAGACCCAGTATCAGGCTCGCAGAACGCCTGCCGGGACTTGCATGCACACACCAGCTGACTGCGGCTCCTCCCGGGCCAGCTGGGCCCCCAGAGCCCTGCCTGTGTGCTGGCATCCAAAACCAGCTCTGCCCTCAGCATCCACAGGCTCTTCTCTATGCATCAAACCTTCCAAATATCTTTTTATGCAAGGCTCCCACCTGAAGGCATGCAAGGAACAGAGACTAACGCAAAGGGCATCACAGTACCCAAAGCCTCCTCCTGCGGACTCACAGTCTCACTCATGCAGTGTGAGTTCCATGGAGATGATTTCCACCTCTTGCTTCCTCCGTGTTACTCCTCCCTCTCATGAATTTGCAACACTGCCAATTCTCCCAGTGCACAGCCCAATTTTCCAGACACAGCCAATCAACCTCACCTCTGATCTGCCTCGCAGCTGTGCCTGGCATGCAGGCTCCAGCAACAGGACCAGAGGGAGAGGGAGGTTTGCCAACTTGCAGGAATCTACCCTGAAAGAGAATTGTGAGGAGGCACACATGTCCTTGGTGGCAGTTAGTGTTGCAGCTCTGCTCCAGCATGCCTCCCCCCTCATCGTAGGACCTGTTTAGCCAGAGGCATCTGCCTTTCCATGACCCATGTGGGACTATCTCGTGCATCAGGAAATTAAATACTTGTGAGGTCTGTTACGGATACACAGCCTGGTATCAATGAACTTTGTGAAGTAGGGCATAGGCAGGATAGGATGATGGAGTCTGTAAGTCTCAGAGATTGCAGGAAGAGAAGCTGTCTTTCACAGACAAGGTTTTCAGTGTAAGTTAGGTGACTTTTAAGGTTTCTAGTAAACTAAGGAGAAACTTTTTTTCATGGCATGCTTGGTCTCTCAGCTGAATCTGCTGGGAAGTCCCCCAAGTGGAGATGGTTCAAACAAACCCACTGCAAAAGCAGGGGGAGAACAGGAACTGTCTCCCTAAAGGTCACTCCACAGTCATGGGATGTTAATTTTCAGTTGCTGCAAACACAGTCTGGATGCAGAGTGGTGACCTACAGCTGAATGCCAACCCCTGGACTAGACAGTGAGTACCAGCCTAAGCCCTTTTGCCCTGCAAAGTCCAAAACATTATCTCTAATATTCTCTTAGGGGTCAGTTCAAAATTATGTTTCCCAGTGCATCTGCTGCAAATCTCTAGAGAAATGGTAATAAGTAATAAGTAAGACTGGGTGCAATCTCAACCTGCAGTAGACTGTCTTACAATTCTTGGTTGCAGGGTTTACTCAGCTAAATTTCCCTGGCAGAAGTAAATGCTGCAAGTAATTTTTTTGAAGTTTTTATTTGTGAACATTATTTTGTGGCTCCAACTGCTTTCTGCAAGATATTGAACTAATTCCAGTTTGGCCGAGTATTCCCTTTTAAATGCAACATCTGCTTTGTGCATCAGTTGAAAAATAGTTATCTGGGTGCAGGGTAGAATTCACCTCTCCACTGTGGTCCAAGAACCATTTCAGTTTGTTTTTTTTTTAATAGAGGATGACCATCATCCCACCCCCAAAGCAGATCTGACTGACAGACCTGTGCCTCACACACAGGAATATTTGTCTCTATGGACCGATCAGCTGAGTTTTCCACTGCAGATCTCACCCCACTGGCACTGAGTCCCACAGCCCATGTAAACACATGCATAATTTCCAGCATCTGAGTAGCTCCATTAAAGCCCACTGGGCTTAAGAGCATTCACACACATTTAAATACATCGTTGGATCAGGGCCTAAAGCTACTCATGTCTTTTATTTTAAAATGTTACCCTGGTCTGTAAAAGTGACATGTTTTTCTTAACAGGCTGTGATACCAGATATGCTCAGCTCATAGGTAAACATCCCTAACTGCTCCACCACTGAACCAGCGATGGAGGGGGAAGTGTGGAGTTTGCATAGCTTGAAGCAAACCTTCTACCTTGCTGACCCTGGGCAGCACTGCAATTCAGTGTGAGGCTTGATTTCGGTGTCGTTATTCAAGTTTAGGGTTAAGCAAATGCTTAACTGCCCTGCTGGGTCACCGTCTTAGTGTGGCTTTAGTCGTTTAATACTGTTTACAGAGACATATCTGGATCCAATCTTGAAGCTGGAGAAGTCCAGTTCATTTCTTCTCAGTTCTGCTCTGAACTGAACTGGAAAATGTAATTCTGCAGAGATGTTCAGACCCGCCACATTCTGTCCTCTCCATCGCAGAGAGCACTGGATCACAGGACAATCCAAGTTGGAAGGGATCTAAGGAGGTCTCTAGTCCAAACTTCTGCTCAAGGCAGGGACAGACATGAGGACAGATGAGGTTCATGAGGACTTTATTCAGCTAGGTTCTGAAAGCCTCCAGCGATGGAGAATTATATGGCCTCCCTGGGCAACCTGTTCCAACGCCTGACTGTCCTCACAGGGAA